GAGCACTGTGACTAACTACTCTCATGTCAGCTCCAGAGCGCTCACAAGCCTGGTATCTCACAGGGTCCAGAGCCACCAAAGCAACTCAAGATCAGGGATCAGGTCACACATAATGGAAGAACGGGGTGTTTCTGAGGGGCTCATTACTCAGATTACTACATGAGGGGGAAGTTCATGGAAGTCTGGGTACTGCCACTGCCCCTTCCTTGATGAGCAGGGAGGAATGAGGAGTACAGGTGATGGTAGAACTTGAAAGAAATGAAAGGGACCCGCTGCTGGGCTGTGGGGAAACCTGCCTGGGCTCCCAGGATATTTGGAGGGATGTAGACCTAGAGATCGCTGATGGAGTAGAAAGTGCAAGAACTTCCTTAGCCCATACCAACCTTCCCCCGATGCTGTGACCATATCTTTTCATGTCTACGGCCAAATGCCTGAGTTCATTCTCTAGGTCTCAGGTCTCCAACAACTCTAGGCTGGTGTGTTCTAATTACCTAGACCTTGCAGACTGTAATAGCAACCAACCACACAAGATGTGCCCACCGGTGCAATAGTGGCAAGGATGCTTATGGGAGTGACTGACCGCTCTCGATTGGATTTGAAGCCTGTTCCACAGAAGAAATTTACACCTGGTACTGAAAAACGTGGTAAAACAAACAACAAACAAAACCCAAGAAAGCAAGGTTAGAGAGCTCATTGGCCCAAGGGGAAGACCTACTGAAACAGTCATCTTGCCAAACTGCCTTCTAAATATTTGTATTTCAAATGTGTGCTGCTCTCAGCCTTAGGCAGAGAGTAATTTTATTCTAGTGCAGTGACTGCAGAGATTCATAACTCTTCAAAGTGCTGAGAAAAAGTGACCAGGGAGGTCTGCTGTAGACGAAATATCTTTATTGATCCTCCATTGATTTTCAAGGCTTGGGCAACATCACAGAAGTGGAAAAAACAAAACAAAACAGGTAAAAGCAGCTGACATGTTCTGTCCCTGGTGAAGCCTGTCTCTCAACATGAGATAGTTTGGGTTCTGCTTACAGTAAGTATTCCTGCATAGCTCAAGCACATGTACCAGAATGAAAAATAGATCACTAACTCAAATTGTGACATTTTCCAGCTCCCTGTGGTTCCAGTTTATTCTAGATTTGAATGGATGAGTGAGTGCAGATAATGGGAGGTTGGTACCATGGTCTGGGGTTCTATTTCTGATTATCTGAAGGCACACAGTGATCCTGTCTCCCCCAAACACAAACTGTCACTTAATTAGTATATTCCTGTCTTAGAACTAACTGTACAGCTCTTCCTTGGTTTCCTTGTTGGAGTTAAAATGTAGGTCTAGAAATTGAAAATGTGGGCATGGTGCATAGGTTCCAGATAACTGGAGCCACAATACAGTTATATGGCCATGTGACAAATTCACCATGAAGATACTCCATGGTATGAAAGGGGGAGAAAGGACACCATCTACCTTTCTCTCTACAATAGACGTGAAGAGTGTTTCTCAGAGCACCTGGGTGGAGCGACCATGGAAGTGAAGCATGAGTGAAATGCAGGTCTCAATGTCTCAGAGAAAACAAATCAGCTTAATTCAAAGCTAAGACACCTTCAGTGTGTCTAAGAGGGACACTGTGGTTCTCTCTTTAGTTAAAAAGCAAGTGATAGGTGACCTTTTCATCTTGGATCCAAAGTAAAGCCATAAACTTGTGTGCACATTCTCTGCCTCTGTGTGTGTGTGTGTGTGTGAGAGAGAGAGAGAGAGAGAGAGAGAGAGAGAGAGAGAAGAGAGAAAGAGAGAGAGAGAAAGAGAGAGAGAGAGAGAGAGAGAGAGCTGGTATATGTGTCTACCTGTGTGTAGGTATGTGTTCCTTTGTAACAGATGACACGGTACACATAGGTGCTCTGTAACTCTTTGTTTAATGTGTGTGGGTGTGAGAGCACAAATCCTTCACTTTCTTAGAATAGTGACATCCTGTGGAATGTTGTTAATAATCAAAATTAATGAGGAAAATGTTGTCAAACATGAGGGAAATGGCAACAGAGAGACAATTCACGAGGGACACTGCAGTGCCATCACAGGCAAACAGACACAGCTGTGCTGTGCATTCTGAACTTCCTTACTTTTCCTTTATTTCCACTATCAATTGATGACCTAGCAGAAAAGAACTGCTTTTAAAGCAGGGTCCTGGATGGTTCCAGCTATGTGTGACCCACAGCAGGTGTGTGTGGCAATTAAATATGTATGTCAAGGTTTAAGCATGGGAATTCTCATCCCAAACATTAAATGACCACTAATAATTCCCAAAAGCCACCACATAAAGAAAGCAGAACAAAGGAACAGCCTGTCAGTCTCCCAAAGCATGAACTGAAACCTGAAAGAAATGTGCAACAGCTTAGGCGGAACATGGGAACGGCTCCACTCTGCTGTGCAACCTCTTCTCATCCCTATCAGGGAGAATTTGCCAGTCTTCTCCATGAGGACAGTGGGTACGACTGCCCAGCTGTCCTACACCTCTGAAACCAACATAACTCCTCCCCCACGCTCAACACATCACCTTTGGTTGGGAAGCCCCACCCCCATTCCTTGCTGGGAATATCACATGATTGGCCAGAACGCCCAGTCTCTGATTCCAGTCCAAGTTCACTGTCTGTTCAACTGACTCCAGGGTGCTAGGAAATTCTAATGTCCTCCATCACCTGGAGCAGACACACTTCTACACTGACACACATGTTGCAGGTTTAGGGTTCTGACCACCTATTCTTCATTGCTCCCATGCTTTCTTGTAAGAAGACTGCCGATAGCTGAGATTACAAGCAAATAAGTAAGTAGATACAGAGAACAAACACACTGGGCAAGGCCTCAGTGGACAAGGCCACCTTGAGGATCTGAAACCATCTAACAGCCAGGACTCACTGGGTTTGAAATGTGATGGATAACATTATGTTTACAGGATAAATTTACTGTGTTAGGCACATAAAAACAAAATTGTCTTTAGCTTGTATAACCCATGAGGAAGTGGCTCTTACCTTGGAAATACCCTATTAGCTGGCCCAAGACAAAGCAGTTCCTCTAGGCTATTCTTTACAAAAAATAAAAAAATAAAAAATAAATAAATAAAATTTAAAAAGGTGATTGTTGGACATTTCACTTCCTCAACTATTCCTCAAGGTAATGGGTCTCAGATCAAACACGCTAACTGCTAAGGTTTGCTTTTATGCCAGACACTGGCCCGCTTGGATGCTTGAAGCATCTGCATGATGTCTGTAAACAAGCTCAAGCTCTGCCCACACCCACAAAAGGATATGAGTTAATTTGACTCTCCAAGATTATAATTTTGTGGGGGTTTTCCCTTTATAATCCTTTGGCTTACAATAGTCACAGCGTTACCTACAGCACTCTCTCTGCTTTATTCCTGGCCAGTGTCTTTTTAATTAAAACCCTAATTTGTATAAAATAAAACTTAGTCACATTGTTATATCTCTAAATGACCCAGGACCCACAACAGAAGGATATCTTGACCAGAGCTATTTGTCATCACCTGAGTTAGCAGTCTCCAGTGGGACAGTAAGAGAGTCAGGTGACACCTAGAGTCTCTACAATGAATTGTGCTATTATGGTCACGCCACAGACTTAGTATGGGCAGCCTCAAATTGCTTGACCCGTCTGTGACCTTCTCATAAAAGATTTCTCTATTGTTTCATGCAAACCAGCCATTTCTAGGAATAGAAACTGAAACCAACTCTGACAGCAGCCCTTACATGGGTAGTTTGTGTAAATAGAGCTCATATCCAGTCAGAAAAGGCTACCTCAAGATCCACCAATTCCACTTTTAGGCATATACCCAAAGGATGCACATTCATACCACAAGGACATCTGTTCAACTATGTTCACAGCAGCACCATTTGTAATCCAGAACCTGGAAGCAATCTAGATGCCCTGCAACCGAAGAATGGATAAAGAAAATGTGATACATTTATACAATGGAATACTACTCTGTGGGGGGGGTCTTGAAATTCACAGACAAATGGATGGAACTAGAAGAAAACATACTGAGTGAGGTAACCCAGACCCAGAAAGAAAAACATGGTATGTTCTCACTCATAAGTGGATATTAGAAATAGAGAAGAGGATAACAAGCATACAATTCACAACCCCAGAGAAGCTAGGAAACAAGGAGGAGCCTAAGAGAGACATACATCAATACCTAGAGAAGGGGAAAGAGACAAGATTTCCTGAGAAAACTGGGAGCGTGGGGGAAGGGGAGTTGGAGGTAGGAAGATGGGGAGTGGTGGAGAGCATGAAGGATCTGGAAGATCAAGGAGAGGGAAGAATAGAGAAAGAGAGCAAGAGGAGAGATACATGGATAGAGGGAGCCATTATAGGTTTAAGGAGAAATCTGGCACTAGGAAAATGTCCAGGGATCCACAAGGATGAGCACAACAAAGAATCTAAGCAATAGTGGAGAGGCTACCTTAAATACCCTCCCCCTATAATGAGATTGATGACTACCTTAAATGTCATCCTGCAGCCTTCACACAATAGCTGATGGAAGCAGAAGCAGACATCCACAGCTAAGCACTGAGCTGATCTCCTGGGACCCAATTGCAGAGAGGGATGGGTGATTAGCAAAAGGGTCAAAACCATGCTGGGGAAACCCGAAGAAACAGCTGACCTGAGCAAGTGGGAGGGCACAGACACCAGTCTGACAGCTGAGGAACCAGCATTGGACAGAAATAAGCCCTCTGAATGTGGGTGCCAGTTGGGAAAAGGGCATTCCATGAGACCTCTGACAGTGGAACAAGTATTTACTCTAGTGCATGGACTTTGGGAGCCCATTCTCAATGGAGAGATACTCTCTCAGCATAGATACATGGGGGAGCGCTTAGCCTCTGCCCCAAATGATGTGACAGATTTTGATGATTCCCCATGGGAGCACTCACCCTCCCTGGGGATTATATGGGGGTGGGATGGGGTTTGGAGGGGGGCATGGGAGCACTGGAGGGAGGGGGAACTGGGATCTGAGTGTAAAATAAGATTGTTTTCAATATAAATAAAATAAAAGATTGAACAGAAGGGTAGTTGATAGCGCATTTTTCTTTCTTCCTTTCTTTTTTCTCTTCCTTCCTTCCTTCCTTCCTTCTTTTTCTAATGTTTGTTTGTTGTTTTTGCTTTTGATAGAGTGTTTCTCTACATAGTTCTGACTGTCCTAGAACTCACTATGTAGACCAGACTGGCCTCATACACATTTATATTTATATATTCAAATGCTTCTGCTTCCAAGTGCTGGGATTGGAGGCATGTGCCACAACACCTGGCATACATGTTCTTACTGATGAATAGAGGAAGGTCCAGCTCATGCTAGGTAATGCCACCCTGGACTGGTGGTCCTGGATGCTATAAAGAAGCAGGCCAAGAAATCTAGAAGAGTGTTACTTAGTGGTTTTTTGATTTTGTTTTTTCTGTGTTCTGTTCTGATTTCCAAAGGAGTTGGGCATTGGATCAAGAGGCAGGTTCACATTCACCTGGCCAAAATGAATCATGAAGTTCCCTGGTGGACTCCAGAGGAGGGAACTAGAGGCCCTCCGAAGAAGAAGAGGCAGGGAGGAGAACTTGTGAGGTCCTTTTGAGCCTGGAAATAGTCAGTGGTGGTGTGTCACAGTTGGTTGTGGATCACCTTAATATTTATCCTCTAAATATTTTTAATAAACATTAAAAGAAATCCCAATACCTGGAGCCCACACAGGGCATTATCAAGCCAGTTGAGAGCTTAGTCTACCTTCTCGCTGCCCCTCCCAGACTGTTTTCCTGTGTTCAGCACTTTTCTGTTGCAATTCTACTGCAGCCTTCAGCTGCTGCCTATACCTGGCCCCAAAACAATGCTGGGATTCCCTACCCCACTGGACACACGCCCTCATTTTTTACCAAACTGCCCCACTAGGCAAAGACCCCTGGCTCCTCATAGTTCATCAGGTTGTCTGCCCCTCCCTTTCCAGGTCAGTTCTGTGTAGCAACAACAAGCGTCATGGCAGAAACTAAACCAGCTGCCTGGCCAACCCTGAATAGAATCCCACTGGCCCCCAGTCAGTATTGCTCACCACAGCTGGCAATAACAAGCCAGAGGACACACCAGCACCAACTATGGTTGGAAGCAGTGCCAGTTATTTCAGGATTGAGAACTAAGCAAACCAATCCCTGACCACCTAGAACCAACCATCTAATCTCTACCTCTTCTATAGAGCCCCAAGGCCAGTGAGTCTGTCTCTGAGAAGGATATTCCAAAGACAGTGAGGTACCAGGGACTCCAGGCATCTGAGCTAAAGAGTAGCAGAAACAAAGCACTTTTCGTTTTTATTATTGAAGCAAAACATTTACAGTTGGCTTAAGCATATGCAAGGACATGGAGGGAATATACCTGGTGTTGTGTCTTATCTTTGGATAAGAGCCAAAAATATCCCTGCCAGGCCTTTTGCCTTTCCCACAGCAATACTGGGGGCATGTGAGGAGAATCTCTTCATGTTCTACCTCTCATTGCATTCAGTTAACATAGCTTATGTAATTCTCAAAGAAATGCCGATGGAAAAAACCTCCTGTACTCTGCCCCACCCATAATTCACAAGAAGCTCACAGCCTTCTTACACAGGCTCCCATACAGCATTGTTGTGTGTTTAGCAAATAAGGGCAGAGGCTGAGTGACACAACAACTTATCTAGCATGGATGAGGCTGTGGATTCTACTCTCAACTCTTAAAACATCAACATAACCCCTAAAAAGAAAACAAAATAAGGAAAAAGAATACAGTGGGATCTAAGGAAAGACAATATCAGGATCAGTAAAGTTCATGATTCGTTGCCAGGGACTCGGGATGAGACAATCTCAGGATGGCCAGAAATGACTAAAGAAAGAGAAATTTTAATCAGCATGCTCTGGATAGTGAAAGACAGAAAGACTCCCAAGGCAATGGCTCGCTCTCTTATCACATTTCCCCTCCATATATGGTCACAAGAACTCAACCACTGCCCAGCTCCACATACTGTAGTTTCCAGGTTATGTCTGAGTCTGACTGACCCTGTATAGCACTCAAATGAGTGAGCTGTGAGCCATTCCATGACCACACGCATGTTTCTGGACATCCAGACTTAAAATTATGTCCCTGAGAACAATGGGGATTGTAGATTTTCAAACTCTGCTTCTGAGCTGTGAGCTGTGAATGATGAAATATGTTCTGCCTTCTGAATTAAGATATTTAGAGAACTCAAGAGGGGAAAGATTAATGAAGGTTCTGTGATGTTCAGTATGATAAAGTTCCAGCAATAAGATACAAAGATTGTGTGGAATGGCATCTCAGTCTTTATAAAAAAGACAGAAGAAAATATTAAAGTGTCTTAGTGTTTTCTATTGCTGTGAAGAGACACCATGACTGCACCAACTCTTCTTTTATAATTTATTTATTCTTCTAAATTTCATTTGACAATCCAACCGCAATTCTCCCGCTCTCCCTTACCTACCCACCCATCCACTCCCAGTCCACTCATCCTCAAGGGTAAGGGCTCTGTAGAGAGATACCCTAGTCCCGCCCAATAGTCATGGGACAGGTGCCAGGTGGACCCGGGACTCGCCCATAAGGGCTTGGTGAAGGAAAGCCGGTGTGATGTAAGGGAGCTTTTTAAGGGCTGCACCGGAAGACCCTAGCCCTTTTTCTGGCCGAGCTTGCTGGGTTCCTGTAACCTCGCTCTGGCCTGCGTTTTGCCCTGGTGTTTTCTTGAATAAAGAGACTTTACCATTCCGGATCACAGTTCATCTTTGAGCACACGCTGCAACCTTTAATCTTCAGGGCTCTCATGAGGGGTCAACAAGGTCTGACATAATAGGTTGGGGCAGGGCCAAGCCCATCTCCCATGCATTAAACCTGAGCATGGCATTCCACCATAGGGGATTGGAACCAACAAGTTAGCTCATGGACCAGGTTTGTATCATGGTCCTACTGCCAGGGTCCCCTCTGAAAGTCCAAGCTTCACAACTGTCTCCCACATATGGAAGGTCTACACCAGTTCCCTGGAGTCTCTGCCATTGTCAGTCTACAGTTCATGAGTCTCCACTAGCTTGGTTCAGCTGTCTCTGTAGATTTCTCCTTCATGATCTTGACCTCCCTTCCTCATGTATTCCCTCCTCCCCTCTTCAACTGGATTCCTGGACCAAGGCCTGGTTCTTGGTTGTGGATCTCTGTGTCATCAATTACTGGATGAAATTCTATGATGATAGTTGGGGTATTCACCAATCTGATTACAGGGGAAGGCAAGTTAGGGGACCCTCTATACTATTCCTTGGGTTCTTAGCTAGGGTCATCCTTGTAGATTCTTGGGAATTACTGTAGCAGCAGGGTTCTCCCCACGCCCACAGAGGCTCTCTCTATTAAGATATCACTTTCATTATTCTTCCACTACATCCCTCCCCACCACTCCCTCAAGACCATCCTGCTCCCTCATGTTCTCATGCCCTTGCCCCTCCCTCTTACCACTCATCCTGGTCCAGTTTACCCAATAGATCTCATCTAATTTCCCTTCCCAGTGTGATCATGTGTCCCTGGTAGGGTCCTCTTTGTTGCCTAGCTTCTCTGGAGCTATGGATTGTCATCTGGTTATCTTTTGCTTACATCTAATATCTACTTATGAGTGAATTCATATCATGCTTGTCTTTCTGAGTCTGGGTTACCTCACTCAGGATGGCTTTTTTTTTTCTAGTTCCATTCATTTGCCTAAAAATTTTCATGAGGTTATCATTTTTACAGCTGATGGATACTCCATTGTGTAAATTTACATTTTCATTATCCATTCTTTGATTAAGGGGCATCTAGGTTGTTTCCAGTTCCTGGCTATTATGAATAATGGTGCTATGAACATTGTTGAGCAAGTGTCCTTGTGGAACCATTGAACTTTCTTTGGATATATACACAAGAGGCCCACAGCAACTACTATAAGCAAAAAATTAATTGGGGTGGCTCATTTACAGTTTCAGAGGTTCAGTCCAGTATTATTATGATGGGCAGCAGAACAATGTGAAGGCAGATGTGGTGTTGGGGTTGAAAGGGCTTATCTTGCAGGCAACAGGAAGTCAACTGACTGTCATACTGAGGGAAGCTTGAGAAAAAGAGATCTCAAAGCTTGCCCCCACAGTGACACACTTCCTAAAATAAGGCCACAGCTCCTAATAGGACCATTCCCTTTGGGGACCATTTTCTTTCAAACCACACATAAAGGAGGGTAGACTCATTATTCAGTAGTGGAGGCAATTTGCCTCTTAGGTTCAGGTTGCCTGTGATCTGGGCTCTTCCATCATGGATTCCCAGGTTCCTGGGAAGGAAACCAGGCCCTGAGATGCCTCTGAGAGCACAGAGACACAGATAGACACAGAGCTGCGTTCTAGAGAAATGCGGATGTAATCCTGAGTGTTTGGAGCTGTGAATTCCCAGGGTTTGCTGATCGAGTATAAGGAGTGGAAAATGATCCACTTGTTACAGTTTGATAACAGGGAGATGGCAATATTCTGGGGCATGGTATGAATCATGTCATGTGTAAGTGAAATTACATGACCTGTGTAGATAGTGGCACAAGCATGTATTGAGATGCTTCCAGTTGACAGCAGGTAATTAGGCATACATGTGTAAGGAAGACATAATGCTAGAATGGATGGAAATAGAGGAAAGACAAAGATCGTGGGCTCGAAAGACAGCACTCAAAATAATACAGAGATAAGCCCTGGAGTGTGGGAGACTCAGAACTCAGCTGCCCAGCTCTCCCTACCTTTTCCCAGCCCTGTGAGCACACTGTCTGGGATTCTGACAACCCAGTTAACTGCCTCTGCTCTCCTAATGTGCACTGTCCAGGCCTCAGCCCTCCAAGAGCACTAAGGAAATATGTTCTTACAAACAGATATTTCTGTGCTCTGGTTTTCTGGTTTTCATTCATAAAACACAAAATAAGGGCTGACTTCTTTTATCTAGTGAGGTAACATGGAAGAATGAAGAAGGGAAAAGCTATCTTTTAAGTACCACCAAATAATGGGGCAGAAATTTAAAAGGGGGAGGGTAGAGAATTTCTGGACATGAGACAGGACTTTCCAGGCTTTGAGGATTCCTCCTCACTAGGGATCTTCTGATTCTGCTCCCACAACCCTGAGATGTTTCAGTGACTCTAAGTAGACAGGACAGAAGGACACAAAGGAGGAATGACAAGCCAGACCTCAACTATGTGAAAGACAGACCCCTTCCTATTCAATTCATAGAACACTGGTTGAAGGAAACAAACAGGATGCGGATTAGCTATAATTTTTTTTTTTAAGGTGACACTGAAGACTTTAAGCACAGAGCAGTCCCATTTTCCTTGCACAAGGAGATGACTCACACACACTGCTCTTAAACAATTAACTGTGTGCAGGTAACACACAGGCCTGGACACATTGAAGAGATACAACTCTGAACTGTAACACCTAATCGTTTGTGACAAATCACAAAACCAAGGACAGAATGAGTGGACTCTCGATGTCTTCTATGTCTAAAACTATATCCACTGATGAAGTCCTTCCTGCCTAACAGTAGTTTCCTGATGTCCAGTTCATTATCTTCTGCTCTTCAATGGAGGGTCTCTGTCCAAGAGCATAAAGGGGAAAATAAATACTGACTCTGAGAAAAGGGGAGATGTTGTCCTTGCACTCTTGACCTGAGATGTTGGACTCGCTGAGATACAGAGCTCTGAATCTCTTCCTCTATTCCTTGTGTTCCCAGGCTCCTGCTTAGTGCCACCACATAAAGAAAGCAGAACAGAGGAACAGCCTGTCAGTCTCCCAAAGCATGAACTGAAACCTGAAAGAGACGTGCAACAGCTTAGGTGAAACATGGGAACGGCTCCACTCTGCTGTGCAACCTCTTCTCATCCCTATCAGGGAGAATTTGCCAGTCTTCTCATGAGGACAGTGGGTACGACTGCCCAGCTGTCCTACACCTCTGAAACCAACATTACTCCTCCCCCACGCTCAACACATCACCTTTGGTTGGGAAGCCCCACCCCCATTCCTTGCTGGGAATATCACATGATTGTTGGTCCTTCGTTGACATGGCCAGAACACCCAGTCTCTGATTCCAGTCCAAGTTCACTGTCTGTTCAACTGACTCCAGGGTGCTAGGAAATTCTAATGCCCTCCATCACCTGGAGCAGACACACTTCTACACTGACACACATGTTGCAGGGTTAGGGTTCTGACCACCTATTCTTCATTGCTCCCATGCTTTCTTGTATGAAGACTGTAGATAGCTAAGATCACAGCAAATAAGCAAGTAGATACAGAGAACAAACACACTGGGCAAGGCCTCAGTGGACAAGGCCACCATGAGGTTCTGAAGCCATCTAACAGCCAGGGCTCACTGGGTGTGAAACGTGGTGCTGAACATGTTTACAGGATAAATTTTCTGTGTTAAGCATGTAAAAACGGAATTGTTTTTAGCCATGAGGAAGTGGCTGCTACCTTGGATGTACCTTGTCTGATGGCCCCAGACAGACCACTTCCTGGTGCAGTTAGGACTACTCGTGTTTTTCTTTTTTTCCACCCCTGCCCCTCCCTCCCAAGGGCTGGGATTAAAGGCGTGGGCCACCAACGCCCAGCTAGGACTACTCTTAAGAAAAAAAAAAAAAGCTAACTGTTGAACTTTTCATAGTCTTATGGTATTCCTACAAAGTAATGGGTCACTGATTAAACAGGCTAACTGCTATGATCTGCATGTTTGCTTGGATGGTTGAAGCGTCTGCAGGATGTCTCTTAGAAGATCAAAGTTTGCCGGCACTTTGGCAGGGATAAGAGTTAATGTGAAATGCCCCCATTGGCTCAGGCCCCCAGGATTTCTGCCCAGGACCACAGTGATCCCAATCACCAGGCTGAGGCAAAAACTTGATGCAAAGAGCAAGAGGCTTTATTGCAGTTGTTTAACGAGCTAACCCCATTAGCTCAGATCTTTCATCTATCCATCATGGTGGATGGCTGGGAAAAGACCCCGAGAAACCACGGGACAAAGATCTTATAGGGCAGCATAAGGGGAGTGCCTAGGGATACGCACAGGCTCAGGATTGGTGTGCCTCCAGGCTTGGAGGGTTTGTCCTGAGTTGATCAGCCAACTGGTTGTCATGGCACATAGGCCCTCCCAGGGCGGTAGCTATTCTCTGCACATCATTGCTGTGCACTTGTCCGTAAAGCACACCCAGAGCCGTAAAGCATAGCACCACCAGCTAACTTCTGATTTGTTCCTTGCCACAAGGCAGGCATCTGACCTCCTAGTGACCAAGGCAAGGTCAGGCAAGTACATGTTAGGCTGTTATGGCTGCCAAAATGGGGAGCTGCTCCCTTCAAATGTTGGCCCCTAAGATTATAACTTTGTGGAGTTTTGCCCTTATAATACATTGGCTAACAAAGGCCAGAGCCTTGCCTAGAGAACTCTCTCCAATTTGATCCTGGCCCGTGTCTTTTAATTAAAAGACTCAAATTTATTAAAGCCAAAAATTAAGTCAGACTGGTAAATTTATAAACAACCCATGACCCACAACAGAAGGATAGATGGTCCAGGACCATTTGCCGTCACCTGAGTTAGCAGTTCCCAGTGGTGAAGCCAGAGTGTTGGACCCAGAGTCTACCATGAACTGTGCACACATGGTCACACCACAGATTTAATCAGGCCCACCTCAAACAGCTTGACACATCTGCAACTTCACTAAAGGACCTTCCCATTCTCTTCCAGGAAGAGAAACTGAAACCAACTCTGACTGCAAGGAGGTTTCGATAAATAGAGCTCATATCCAACCAGAAAAGTGTAGACAGCAAGGGCTGTGTGTGGGCCAAGACCGGTAAAGTAACTAAAAGAAGATCAGCCTGTCATCCCAAGTGCTCCTCCTTTCTTTATGCAGTTCTTCTGAGGACACCAGCACTCCACACCTCACCTCTTTTCTTCCTATACATCCTGAGTGTAAGCTCCAGTGTTACATCACTCCACAGGAACTGCCCTTGTTGGGGTGCAAAGACCTATCCTAAGAGGACAGCTTTACCAGAGCTGCTATTGTCAACAGATCAAGCTCGCCACTGCTGAGGTAAGTGAACAGTTTCTAAGTTCAGCTTGGCCAAAACACTGCTTGGATGATACCATGTTGAGTGGATCATTGACACTTGGCCAGAAGAGCTTGAGGATTTTTATTCAAGAATCATTGACCATAGCATCCTTCTGTGGCCATCTTCTGTGACACAGAGCATCCCAAAGTAGAGAAGCAACAGCCCTTCCCTCCACATTAGTGTTGTGGCTGTGCTAGTCTTTGGAAGCAGGCAAGCTTGGAGACAGACAGCAGGCTGTGTTACCCAGATGCTCTTGGAGTCTATGCTGTAAACTCCTCATTTGCCCCAGGAAGATAAAATCCCAGGTCATAAATAACCACAGTCTCTGGCAGAGCAGGTTGAGCACTGTGGCTTTCAAAGATTCTTCTGTTGTTACACTGATGGCCCACCTTTATAGTTCTTGATGCTTCTCTCTTGCAGTTTGCGGAACACTTGGCTCTGTATATTTGCAGGGTTTTAAGTATAACATGACTCCAGGAGTTTCTTTTTCTGCACTGTGTATCTAGTGTTCTCCAAGTCTCTTTTATCTACCTGGGTGTGCTTTTCTGTCTCTAAATTTGTGGACATTTTTGCTATGATTGGTTGAGAATGTTTTGTATACTATTGGAATGGAATTCTTCTCCTTTTAAGCCCATATATATACAGGTTTTCCCTTTTTATTTGACTTATCACTGTGTTAATACACTCTTTACATAAAACATTAAAAGAGTGCTTAAGTATAAGGCAGAAAGAGAAACATTTTTCGGCAAGTCTTTCTGAAGTCACACTTCTCAGAGATCACTGGGTTGCTTTGGGGTATTTCTCTGTAAAGCCTTTTGTCATTGTCTCATGTTAGCATAGATAAATTAGAGGGTTTGGAGAAGGGCTCTGTTTTCCTTTGTTTTACTTTTTCATACAAGAATATGTCTCACTGATAGCTCCAAGTGCTAAGCCCATATATTTCATGGTGCTCCACGGGTCACATGTGATCTCTTCATAGGTTTTTCAGTTTTTATGTTCATCCTTGAAAAGTCTTCCAAATCTTCTACATTGTCTTCAACCCTGATATTGTCTCCTCCATATGATCCTCTCTGTTTGTATCTTTCCATTGAGAATTTTTGGTCTCTAACTTCATTTAAGTCAAGACTTTCCTCAGTATTTCTCTTTATTGAATTTCATTTTTGTACCCTGTGTTAACTCCTGCCATTCACCTAGCTGATTGTTTGAGTCCCCTTTTTTTCCGTTTCCTTTTTTTTTTTTTTTTTTTTGGCACATTTACATCACCCATTTGAATACTTTGTCTGAAACTTTATCTAAGTCATTCCCATGAAGGACACTACTCTGAGATTTGTGTTGTTTAGAGGAGACAAACTGTCTTGGTTTTTCATATAACCAAGTTTTTGTGTTCGAAATTGCTTAGATCACTGTTTGATTTAACTTTGTATATACTTGCTTCCTTACTTATTTTAGGAAGTTGGTTTTGAAGGCTCTAATGCATGGGGCGGTCAGCAGGGGTCAGGTGAACTAGGATGTCTAAGACTCAAAAGTGTGAATGCTGACCCCCCTGGGTGAGTGGGGAAGCATAATTACCCGCTTCTCCTCCCTGCAGTCCCTTTCATACCCCTTATTCCCTTTCAAATTTATTGCCTCTAATGACTTATTATTGTGACATATATCTTCAAACAAATATATAAACACAACCTGATTCATTTAATACAGCTTTTATATATAGATATAAAGATAAATGATAGACAGACAGACAGACTCATCTCTGGGTAAGACTACCTCTGCCTTTCCGCAGCATTTCATCACTGTGACACTTCAGCTAAGTATAACAACACATGCAATTTCCTACATCCACTTTGGAATAACAACTGGTGGTATTGTTGCTCAGATCTTGTTTAAATGACTATAATGTTGACTTTTCTTGGATTTATCTTCTTGTCACATGCAGAAGACATAATCTTGCAGACAGCGATATCCAGACTTGGTGGTCCTCTGACTCTTGTAGTCTTTCTACACACTCTTTTGCACTGTTTCCCTGGTGTCTTGGGTGTAAGTCTTGTATTATAATGTATCCACTGGGCACTGCAAAGTCTGTTGTTCTCTGCTCTTTGACGAGCCTTGGCTTTCTAAAGTAACCTCTGCTGTGAGAAGCAGCATCTTTGATGGTGAGTGAGAGCTCCACCTCCCTGTGGGTATAAAGATGAGTATTTAGAAAGCAGGTGGAATACACTGGGAGAGGAAAGTGGCCATAGTGGGTTCTCCTCTGAGATCTACGAACTCACTATCAACAGGTGGTTGGTTAGGTTTTCAGTTACCAGGCATGGTTTTCTTCTTGTTCAGCTAGCCTGAAGTCCAATTAGATGGCTGTGGGTTACCACCAAAACATAAATGCCACCCTTGCACCTCTAGAGTTATCTCAATGTGGGCATCATCATTGTGGCTCACAGCTGGGTGGGACCATTGAATGCTTTCCTCCCTTGGCAACCTGCACAGCACCTTCTGGTATTATGAAAGCTAGTCCTCTGGGAGGAGATGTTGGTTCAGATGCAGCTTGATTTCTCTGAGTCCTGTACCTGAAGTATGTGCTGTCTTCAGAAAAAGGGCCTTCAACTTCTGGGGCTCAAGCAAGGGCAACAGCAGTAGCCTGTGCTCTCTTGGTAATATCTAGGACTCCCCTGACACGCAGCTCAAGAGAAGTGTCCCATTCCTGACAATGAAATTTCTGTACTCTATGACTCACAAGGGAGGCATTATCAGCCAAATGGCATAAAGTCATTTAAAGTGTACAAGTATACATATGTGTATGTATTACAATTTAGGTAATATGAAATAATAAGATTCCCAATATAGTATTTTCTATAGTTTTTTACTCTTTCTCCAAGTTAACCCTGGTGTTTTCTGGAATTTTAGAAATGTTGGTTTTGAAAAATCTTATGATCTTAAAAATCTAGTCAGTATTATGCAGGACACATGTGAGAATTCTCTCAGAATGCCCTGTCAGTGCCTGGGTGAAAGCTCTCATTGTTATATTGTTTTGAGTTCTGACCTAATCACCCCAGAGAACAAAACACAGGACATGCACAAGTGAGCATCTGAACTCCAGGAAGCAGGGTAACTCACTTAGGAGTCTGCCTACAATGGAGAAGGAATGCCTGGCCTATGAAAAGAAAGGAAAATTACATTAAGTTTGACATCGCTTTTCTTTTCTTTTTTTTTTTTGTTTTTTTTTTTTTTTTTTTTTTTTTTTTTTTTTTTTTTTTTTTTTTTTTTTTGGCCTGCTGCCCAGAAGGTTAAGGGTGAGCAAAACAAAAACAAAACCCACTGATAAATATCAGGCTGAAAAATACTCGTTTCGCCTGATGACTACATCAGTCACTCTATAAAATTACCCATTAGTAATACTCCCTGGATCCTTCATCACATCCTAGGGCCCCAAGGCCTCCAGTGGCAAGCCATGGGAGCAGCCTTCAGGCCTCCACAATGCGACTCTTACCTCTTCCCTTTTCTCTCCCTGTCACCAGCCCCATTCCCAGGGCCCATGGAGCTTCCGTCCCAGGAGTATCAGCCGCTCTTAGACCAAGCAGGAAGTAAAGTAAGATTACTCATAAATTGAGATGTTCTCACAAATTCCTTATTATAGTTGTTTTGTTTTTCACTAGGCATGCCAAAAGCCACGCCTTATAAACGTGGCGAAGTTCAGCCTCTCCAGCTGTCAAGTTCCAAACACAAACTGGGTTGTATATATGATCTAAGCAGGGCATTGACAACTTCCAGAAACTTAACAAAAACAAAAAGCATCATGCACACAGTCAACCCAGAAGGAAAATCAAAACAACACACATTAAAAAAAAAAAAAAAAAAAACTCAAAGCCTGTCAGTGAACACGTTCAGAGAGAGAACAGAGTTGGAAAAATCATATCCCTAAACTGTCCAGAATCTTTTTTTATCATTTTTTATTTGAATTACAAACAAGATTGAATTACACGACAATCCCAGTTCCCTTCCCCCTTCCTTCCTTTCTTCCCCTGGCCCCACCCTCCTGCTCCCTCATGACCTCGGCATCCTTCCTCTTCTTCCCTTCTTAGTCTCCTAGCTCCCTCCTCCCTCTTCCCATGCTCTCAATTTGCTCAGGGGATCATGACCCTTTCCTT